ACTCTCGCGCACTCTCGCGCACTCTCGCGCACTCTCGCGCACTCTCGCGCACTCTCGCGCACTCTCGCGCACTCTCGCGCACTCTCGCGCACTCTTCTGGTTGAGGAAAGTAATAAAGATGTTATTGTGGTTCCTGTGGCTGGAGGGGCTGTGATTTTCCTGGTCTGAGCATGAGTGTATCAACACAGTACACTCAACATGCTCAGTGCCCTGAACATGGACAGTATACACAGTGTGAGCGCTTTAACAAAGAGACTTGGACACATCTGCCACAGTGCCGAGTTGGAGTCCAGCTCGGACCGAGCTGGCGGGTCTGTGAGGGGGAAGGGACTGGAGACGGGTCTTACTGTCTGTGCTGCTGCTGCTCCATCCTCCAGCTCAAAGCAGAAACCACTCCACTGACCAAGATCTTTGTAACGTTTAGTTTTATTGTTTCAGAAAATATTTTTTCTTAAAATGTTAAATGTATAAAAACATAAGAAATCACAACAATTGGACATAATTCTAAAATAAAAAAATCAGCTTTCACTGCCTTAGGCTACGAGTACATGCTGGGGGGTGGGTCGAAATTCACAATCATTTTTGCTGGTCCCTGAGGTATGAGTGGTTGAAACACTGATTTGGGAAGTCCTGGATTAAACAGTTTGACAGGAGTGAAGGACACGGGTTCAGGCACTATGGGGCTCTGGGTGACTCTATCCTCTCTCCAGCTCCAGTGTCCAGTCTCTGTCTGTAACCCCACTGTCCCCCTGACACAGGACACAGAGGTGCAGACGTGTTGTTACAGACTGAGGGTCTGTTCAGCTGCTCTAGAGGATTGATAATGATGAAGGCTGTGTGGGGCTCTGGGTGACTTCTCTCTACAGCTTTACACAAAGAGTTGTGGGTGTCTGGAGTTGTCACACTGTCACAGATGGTTCTAGTTGACCACTGGCTCCCTTGTGCCCAATGTGTCCTTTTCCCATCCTTTTTACAATGCATACATCCCTATTGCTACCGTTGTCATGGCAAAGCAGATCCCCAGGACCAATCGCAGTAAGGGGAAGGAGGAGAGATAATCCTTGAAGGGTGGGGCATGAAGCTTCTTCGTTTCTGATTGGTCACCTGCAAAGAGATGAGACATGAGATTGGTCAGTGACTTTGGAGTGACCCGTCCAGTCTGGCAGTCTGAGGGTCAGTCAGTGTGTCCGTTTCGGCCTCTGGCAGTGGACAGGACAGAGCTGTCGTACCTTGTGTGGAGATGGGTCGTGCGGCTCTGTGTCGTAGGTCCCTGGGTGTCTCGCTGCCTGTCTCGGGCTCTCCCAGCAGCCCCTGCAGCTCCTGAAACACCTGGTGCACACAGACAGGAGCAGTGTGAGCAGGGCAGCGCTGTCTGCTCTCACCCCTCCTCTCTGCCTGTCTCTCTCCCCCCTGCCTGCCTCTTTCTGTCTCTCCCTCTGCCTGTCTCTCTCTCCCCCCTGCCTGTCTCTCTCACATTTCTCCCCCGCCTGTCTGTCTCTTTCTGTCCCTCCCTCTGCCTGTCTC